CATTTTGAACATAGAGGATATTTCTGAGTCTTCTGGTATGGTCTCGTTTGTTTCACATTCTCTCCAAACCAAAATTTTCTGCAAAGAGCACAAACATGCAGATAATTGCAAGAAGATAGGTACTGGAAGGGATCTTCAGAAGATCTCGGACTGCATCCAAGCATTGTCTTCAAGAAGGAGGGCAGCAGCAGTGACAACAATGAGATAAAGCACCAGCTTTGTGCTCCAGCAGGTAAAAGCCCCAGCACTGCTTTCCCGTATCCTCCTGGCCTGCGCTCCAGGTCACAGCCCTTGACCCACAGAAACAAGTTGCAGCCAAAATGTTGCTTTTGCAACAGAAATAGGCAAGCTGCCTCTGAGCATGCAAAGGGTTTGAATGGAATATTCTTTTCTGACTTAGCACTAAAGCACAGGCCGCATGTGCACGCTGGGTAAACCACACATATAGGGGCCCCTCAGAGACCATTTTCTGGGTTCATATGTTCTGACATAGTTAAGATAAAAAGCAACCTCAAGGTGGTTGCCCTTTAATTCTAGGTATCTAGAAATGCAAGCTGCGTTCTGCAAACATTCCACAATGTAGGCATTTTGCAATTTCAGTAAGTCACAGATTGAGACAGGGGACAAAGTAAGTTCCCAGCTCAGACCCATAATAGATACAGTTCTGTATTCTGGGGAGTAACAGCACCTTGTCTTAAGTTTACACAGACAAGACTTCAGGAGTTTTGCCGTGCTGCTGATGCTATATGTGCATACTAGCACTGGCCTTAGGCTCATAAATGCGTAGAACAACTGCAGACTTGGCCCCTCTTCAAGAAACAGGTGTTTATCTTAAATAAAATTGTTTTCTCTGTTGTTTTTGGTGATGACTCTAACAGTGAAATAATGTTTTGAGGTGAGTGTGAAGCTTTTGTATATTTTTTTTTTAAATCCCAACAAACAAAAAACAAAACCCCCCAAAACTCCCCTCAGCTTCTACTTAAATCTGCTCCAAGCAAAGCCCCTTTTATTCACTTCTGCTTTTCTAGGGTACCCTCCACCAACAGTCAGTCGCCAAAAACAAAGATGAGCTGCAACTCCTCTGCTCCAGTGCAGCCTGGCTTAGGCTCTCAGTGGTGTACGCTGAGCTGGCTGACAGGAGCTGGTAGGGCTGCAGCTTTAGGATGAGGACATTGCACTGTACAACTATCACTTCTAAAGAGAAGGCCCTTTCATTTCTCACTTCACCATACCCATATGAGATGAAACGTGTATGAAGAACAGGAAACAGCGATTTTCCAGTACTTCTTCAAGGAGTAAGTTCTTACTCTTTACAGACAGCAAATTTAGTTGAAATTCTCAACACAAGTTCACTTTAGGCACCAGATCTGAACAAACATTTCCCATTATGTCAGCTGTAGAACCATTCTGGCACAAAACCAAAACAGAGATCTGAATGGAAAGTTACGATTTATTGTAAAACAAACAAACAAACAAGCCCCAACCCTCACCCAAAGTTAACCAAGTGTACAAGGCCTCACAGAAGTAAGAAAGAGACTGCCATGTATGCAAAATACATAGAGCAATAGAGCAAATAAAGTATCAGTGAGACACTGGCACAGGTTGCGCAGGGAAGTTGTGGATGCCTGGAAGTGTTCAAGGTCAGGTTGGATGAGGCTTTGAGCAACCTGGTCTAGTGGGAGATGTCCCTGCCCATGGCATCTTTAAGATGCCTTCCCACACAAACCTTTCTATGATTCTGTGATTCTAAGTGGAACTGACACCTACAGCAATAAGCCAGGTACATTCTTGGAAAGCCAATTAACTTCCTATGAGGAGGGCAACACTAGTACTCAGCTAAAACTCTGCTACAATGCCACATTGTATGAAACAGGGTTAGACAAGTTCGACAGCCACTGAGGTAGCACCACTCTCCTTTGCCAGGGCAGAGACCGGGCACCAGCATCATCTGATTTGTGTAACTTCACCAGGCACTGCAGGTGCCTGCTTCTTATTCCAGATCTTACTGTAAGAGCATGGGGTGTTCCTGGTTGAAGGGTTTGTGCTGTTTCCAATGCCAAATTCTAAACACCAAAATATGTATTTATTTATTTTTTAGAATAGTTCTAAATAATTAATAGTTAGATAAATAAAGAATAGTTCTCATTTTCTCCCTGTGACTTTGTTTCCTCTAGTGCAGTAACCAGCCTTTGACAATAAAGTCTTTATTGTAACTGAAATGAAACAGTCTGAAAGTTGTATCTCTAACTACTATTTTGATGAAAATAAAAACATTCTTTTGCAGCAGTGTAAGTGCTGCAAGACTACATAAAAAGATGCTTTCTAGGTGTTTATAAAGAAGTAGTTTGAAGTAATTTCATTATAATGTTATGGATTTTGGGAGGAATAAAATTAAGTTGCAATGCATGGTTTAATTTGTTTAAATGACATTTGTGAAAATCAAATATTGACTAGGTGCTGTGGCCTTCTGCTGTTTACCCACTCTACAGACAGGTCATTCTCATTTACTTCCAGCTACTTACCAGAAGAAAACGACCTGGGAGTGTCAGTCCACAGCCAGCTGAAACATGAGCCAGCAGTGCCCAGGCGGCCAAGAAGGCCAATGGCATCCTGGCTTGTGTCAGAAACAGTGTGACCAGCAGGAGCAGGGAAGTGACCCTTCCCCTGTGCTTGGCACTGATGAGGCCACACCTCAAATACTGTGTTCAATTTTTTGTCCCTCACTACAAGGACATTGAGGCACCGGAGAGCACCCAGAGAAGAGCAATGACACTGGTGAAGGGTCTGGAGCACAAGTCTTACAAGGAACGGCTGAGGCAACTGGGTTTGCTTAGCCTGGAGAAAAGGAGACTGAGGGGAGACCTTATTGCTCTCTACAACTACCTGAAAGGAGAGTGTAGTGAGGTGGGTGTTGGTCTGTTCTCCCAAGTAACAAGTGGTAGAACAATAGGAAACACCCTCAAGTTGTACCAGGGGAAGTTTAAATTGGATATTAGAAGAAAAATCTTTACTGAAAAGGTTGTCAAGCATTGGAACAGGCTGCCCAGGGAAGTGGTGGAGTCACTATCCCTAGAGGTAGTTAAAAGATGTGTAGATGTGGCCCTTATTAGGGACATAGTTCAATGGTGGACTTGGCAGTTTTAGGTTAATGGCTGGACACGATGGTTTTAAGGGTCTTTTCCAACCTAAACATGCTAGTCTCCAGCTGAAAGCTCAGATCCGAGTCGTGACTTTCCAACCCTGTGTGGATGGAGTGGCAGCGGGGTGCTCCTGTCCCCTCTATCTGCCATGGCCCTGGGACACCAGTTCAGTACGAGGCTGAGCATTATCCATCTGCTTAGAAGGCATGTGCCGTGTTACAATTTTAATGTGTTATCTCTCTTTCCCATATGATTCGACTATTCCTTGACTGTGGCTAAAATGCAAAATGCCTTCCCACCTTTAAAAGAAAGGTTAAACTTATTTAACCCAGCTGGCAGGTACTGCAGGCTTTCTGGCAGCAAAGTTATCCTAGGATACAAATTAGCATAGCGGACCATTAGGGACAATGTTGCCAAAAATGTGCATGTTCTTGATGTGTTCTCACATTTTCACGGTTACTCTGCGTAACAGAGCTGGTGCATGGGTGTTTGGGATGCGATGTGCTGTAAGGATCACAGTTGTCATTGTAGCTGTTAAGTGGTCTGTGTCACGCTCCTTCCAATAAGCAGGTAGCGTAACGTCTGGACAAAAAGCTCAAATGCTTATATTTTGGGAAAGGCAAATAGTTGCAGTGAAAACCATGGTGCTGTTGGGTGAGAGCAGGTACCAGTGCTTCCATAACACACGTATGCGAAAGCAGAGTGGAGATGGGGATTTATAGTCATTTAAAATGTTGCCGCTCCCCATTTCTGGTCTAAAATACTTCTCTTTTTTAATAAGTCAGTAACAAATAGGAGCTAACGCAATAATGGAATGGTTGCCAGCGCTGACGATTAAATGGGGCCTGTATGGAGGCTGCAGAAGCTGTAACGGAGATACCACAGAGGCTATTTTTAAGGACAAAAATTATAATCAAGCAAGCACTGCAGACTTTGCACTTGGGGAAAATACACGTGGCTTATTAATGCAAGTAACTGGTCAAATTACACTCTTAGGAGCCTTTCAGATTACCTGTTCTTGCATGGTGGGATGGAGTAGGTGATCTGTCCGTGTCCATAGAGCAGCAAATGCTGCCTGCAGTCGTTTTATTTAGATTTTTTGTTTCCTTGAATTATTAACCCACAGTGAGACCTTTCCTGACAGTCCATCACATCTCACCAAACAGCACCACAAAAACCAGGCGTGCGGGGCTTCCCCTGTTTGGTTTGTTGTCGTATTTTTACTTTATGAAGACAAATAGTTGGAATGATGCTCTAAGAAGGCAAATAATGTATTCCAGAGCAGAAGAATTAGCAGCTCTAAGACAATCAGAGCATGTACCCGGGCTACCTCCTGTAAGTACAGGGTGCAAGGCTCCTCCTGAGCCTTGTTACAGCCCTGGCTGCTGCCGCGGGACTCGCTGGGCCGTTGCTTTCACAGCCTAAATAGAAGGGTGACTGACGACATGGTTTCATCTTCTGCTTCACTAATCTGCATATTAACAATATGGTACTTGATAGCTTGGAAAGAGGCACTGTGATGCTTCCGTGAGCAGCAGCTAGTTTTTGGGGTTATCGTTTTTGCCATTAGTGAAGGGTTTAATAGCTTAATCCATCTGGAAAGCAAGGAGATTTATTAGACTGTACAGTAAACAGGCTCATAATTACAGCAGCAGTCCCTGCTGTACAGTAACTGCATCTGAAAAGTTTTGTGGTGATATTCTGTACTAGATTTACTAAAAAAACAAAGGCACCTTGGTAGTCTCTTTGGTGCCCAAGAGCCTCTGCAGTGGCTGGGATCTCCTAGCATCTTAGAAAACACTACTTTTTCTATCTAGTTTAGATTACAATGACTCTTTGAGCTATATTGGATTTTTAAAATATGAATATAGGCTGACGAATGCTTTTCAAAGTGTGCAGCTTGGGCAGGGGTTGAGAAAGACCAGTGCTTGCTGTGTAGGACCAGCGCAAATGCATCTTGTGCCTTCGGTTGACTGCACCAACGCGATGCCTTGGAGTTGAGGGTCTTGCTGTGGACTCCTAGAACAGCGGAGGTTGCAGGGGAGGCCTGGAGATCATCTAGGCCCACCTCCTGTCGAGAGCAGGACTCAGACTGGGTCAGCCAGGCTAGAAGCAACTTGTCCACTTCATTGCAATGAAGTGTGTGAGGTGCTTTTCCACTTTTACGTTTCTTTTTTCCCATTTTAGCTCATAAAACATTCCTGATCGCATGACAGGCAAAGGCGCATGAGTCACTAAAAAACCTGCTCTCTTGTGGGGAAATAGTTTGCTCTAACTTGTGTTAACAGAGACACGTCTGTCTGTCTGTCCAGAGGGCAGGAGAAGGCAGCTCGGGAGTGGGGAGCAGGGTTAGGGTCGGTGCAGTCGCTCCCCGCATACTCAAGGCAGCAGCCAAACCTGTCTGAAAACCTTGCAAATTGGGTAGCTGCCCTAAATGCACCCAATGCTGAAATTAGATGCAAATCTCAGTTTCTAATAAGAAACGGTAATGCCAGTATCTATAGAAAAGTACTTTGACCTTTTGAATTAACTGTTACATAGCCACAAGCTTTGCTGATGCTTAATATGAGATGTGTTGATGGAAATAAAACTGTTTTAGGCTCTAATTGGACTGGAAAACTGTCAGACAAGCTGCTGGATATGGCTGCTTCACTTTATATTTTAGATCCTCTCTGGTCATCCCCAGAGGGAGCCCTGGAAGCAGTGAGGATGAGACAGTAAATCTGCGCTGAAGAGCCGGTGGAGAGGCCGGTAAGCTCGATTCAGCTACAGGAGATACATTCCTTTCTGTCTGCACAGAGTCGTCATTTCCTAGCGCTTAAGGAAAAAACAAGCAATCTTGACAACGTGCTGTGTATTAAAATACAAATTGAATACAGGCTCTGTACACATCAAGTATAAATAAAATATTAGAAGCTGGACTTGTCTGTTGAAACCAGCTTGCCCAGGTTAGCATTCTGAATACTTTTTAAACGTTTTTCCTCAATGCATAACACCTCCAGGTCCAGTTTTCTGTAAAACAGTGCTAGATTTTTTTATGCGTAGTGGGGAAGCAAATGCATAATGAAGCAAATGATAGGGAGTATTTCCAAAGAGCCAGTGTGAGCAGATTGAGGATGCAGGTAAAACACGTGTGGGAAATGTGGAGCTGTTGGGAAGTTAGATGATTCATAGACAGCAAATTTTAAGACATAAGTAAGCTTTGGCAAAGGATCTGAAATTTTGATGTCATTACAGTAGTCAAAAAGAATTTTCTACAGTTATTGAAAGTAATTCTGGAATTCTTTGTGGTTTTCTATTGTATAACATTGTAATGAGTAGCCCAAGTAGCATTTTGCTGTGTGTAATAAACAGGACATGGGGGTGGAAAATGCTGCCTGAGGTTTTTGTGTGACTGAGTATAACTTTTAGGTGTGGGCATATACGGAAATTGTAGTCTTGTTGCTTTATGTTGTTAAATTGTGTGGTGTATCTTTTCTTTAAATATTGAATTTAACAAATCTCAGATTGGCAGTCACTGTTCAGGGTTGGTTTTTTTCTCTGCACTAAATAGCTTCGTCTGGCACAGAGGCTTCAAAGTCAATAGGTATCTTATCGCTACTCAGCAGAACTCCCTGGTCTGAAGTAAAATACTGTCTGTTTCCTACCAAGCAAACACAGAGCCGGTGTGTTAGAGTGTTCAGAGCCCTCCGAGACTCAGCGGGCAACTGCTGATTATTGTTTAAATGCAGGAAATTTAAATGTGAGTGCTTTAACTTGCTGCCAATGGACTTGTTCTTGGGAAACGTACTTTGTGATGTGGTTTCTGGAGTCCTTACTCATTTATTCAGGAAGGCATCTAGTAATTTTAACCAGCTTCAAACACTTTGTGTTTTGCTCATGAGCAGTGTGAGTGCAGAACTGTGGAAGTGAGGCTCTTGCTGCAACTCAAGTTGCCTTAAACAAGGCAAGACGAGGGAGCATCTGAGCACTGGGCGAGGACAGTGAAGGTCTGGGGCTGCAGTCGGGCTCTCTCCTTCACCCACAGACGTGCAGGATACATTTTGTTGCCATCTCTTCAATTGACTGTGTTCTGTTTCATACTTAGTAGGGAAATTCATTGTTACATGCAGGAGTTTCCTTTGTGCTAGGACAGGCTCATTAATAAGGATGCAATGTATTTTTCCTCAGTCAATACCCATTAACATTACTGAGTCCATTACTTAAAAAGCCAATGAAGTGATTTTCAGTTGGCACCTTAGGCCTGGGTCTCTAGGGGAAAAACTGTCGAACACTCTTGTGTCCTTGTAGTAGATAAATATGGGGAGATGAAAAGCTGGGAGATCTGTATTCTCTCCTCATCCTTTATTGACGGCAGAGTAATCTGTGGGCTTGAAGGCTGTGGTGTGCATTCACTCCTCTTTGATGGCCTTAAGTAATGGATTTATAGGTCCTTAAGGCAAGCACAAACAACAGCCAGCCTTTAGTTCTCCTTCACTTCTTAGAACTCTTCCTCCCCCATTATAATTCACTTCGTTATCACACAGGCATTTATTTACAAGGAACCATAAAACTTACTTGACAGGATTTGCGAGTGAGGGTTTTTAATGAGATTTTTCATAGGAGCAAAATGTGGTGTTACAAAGCACTCGGTTTCTTCTCCCAGAGCAGATGCTGATCTCCAGAACTCAAAGGAGTGAAGCTTTTACTTTAAAAGACCAGAAAACATGACATTCAGCCAAAGTAGTAGGTAGTGTGCAATAGCACCTTGCAGCACGAGACGTTGCAAAATGCCACAGAGTATTTTGGGAGATGGGGAAAAGCCTCTGCTACGCAGAAAAAGCTGTCCATAACTTGACAGTGGCACGTAGAGACATTCATTTCACACATTCAGAAGTGGCAGAAAGGAAACAAGTGACAGGGAGAATTTTATTCCATGGCAAGCAGTTAATTTAAGATGAGCACCTTTAAGTGTTTATCATCTTTCTGTGCCTTCAAAGCTCCAGGATTTGCACACAGCTTTACAAACTAACCAGCCCTTTGATTGTCTGGTATGGGCTTTTTGGGAAGGAGTTGGCTTTACATTTAAAATCTAGCCTGCAGGAGAACACTGGATTTTATTATGTGGCATTGTCTTGGAGCTTCATTTGTTTTTTTAAAATTAAACTGAGTTTTGCCAATGGAGAGGTTATTAAATACTTTAACACTTTAGTCCTTCTATATTCTTTTTCTGTATTCTTTTCCTTTTTCCCCCCATTAAACTAATCAGCACACTGATTTTTGCAAATGCAAGCTACAATTGTATCGATTAACACGAGAAGTGGATGTCACAGGAGAAATTTCAATACCAAAGGCAGCAGAGGTGAGTTTTCCTTACATACACACACAAAACCCAGAAAAATGTGCTTCCTTTATGAACAACTGATCATTGCTGCAAACACAGAAACATTTCTCCTGCGTGTTTCCTCCATCTTTTGTGCATTTTGGCTTTGGAGAATCTAGAGAGACTCTTTGGGTACTGCTCAAGAGATGGTGTCAGTGCCTTACGGAGGCCACAATTTCAGGTTGGTTTTTTGGTGTTTTTTTTGTTTGTTTGTTTGGTTGGGTTTTTGGTTTGTTTTTTTTTTATATTTTGTATTAATACCAGTTAAAAATTGCAGTGTGGCTGAGCTTTCAGTGCTTTGTGAGTCACCCCAGCAGCTGTTGGATGCGGAGCTCTGAAGCGTAGTTTGGCCATGCCACCACCATCGGTCTTGTCAAACCACCTTACCCTTAACATCTCCATTGCATTTTTGTTGGCCTTAGCACACGTGGAAATTAAACCAACCACCATCAGAGGTTGTGGTGCTGAAGTGAGTTGGTGTGGGGGTTCCTCCTGCTACATTTTTTGTAATTTAGTTGTGCAGTGAAAGAGGATTATTGGCCATCAGTGCCCATAACTTCATCGAATTCACTAAAGTTGGGTTTTGTTTGTTCATTTTTGGTCTTCAAACTGACAAAGATCCTAGTCCCTAAGATCTGTTTAATCTTTCCATGAGGCTTTCTGTACACAGACTTCATTGGAAACATAGTACACATGGGTATATACAAACCAAGCACAGCTGTCCAAGTGTGGCAGTGCTGCTTTTCTCAGCCATTGTGCAAGGCATTCACTGAAAGCTGCTATTTTCATTCACCTTATAATTGTACTTTTTTTTCTACTTTGTGTTCTGTTCTGTCTTGCATGTGAGATATACACCACATGTTAAATATACAATAAATTGTTTACAGTTTACCTCTTGTAAAGGTAGTCCTCTGTAAAGCTGTACAGACTTTGCAGTCCAAGCACAATGTGCACGTTATTTTTATATAGAACGAGATGCGACTTTTTGCAGAGGGAAAAGCTCTACTACGTCTATAAACAAAGTCAATGGATCAACATCTGTGCTTAATGTAAAGCTGCTTTATCAAACCCTAAAACAATTTTTTTTAATCTTAAGACACATGGGGTGTTATTATTATTTAATTTACCTCCTCCCTTGTGTGTGGTTGCAGATGAGCCCCAGTGAGCAGTTGTCTTGGTGCTTCGGAGATGACTCCTTTTAGGGAAGGTTTTTATTTGAAGACAGACAGAAAATGTTCTTTTGTTTTTAACAGGTACAAGTTTGCTGGTTTAAGATAAGGACCCCAGATCTATATTCTCTGTCTGCTCAAGTAATTCATGCAGTATGCTGGTGGTGTGAGTTCTTTCTGTTAAATGCATCTCATTTTGAGTTTCTATGATTTTTGTTAAATGCCAGTTTTACCTAACTGGTCACTAAAGAAATCCCCTAAAAAAGACACCAGGCTATCTGCAGAGGTTGCTTGCAAGAAATGCACCGGACTCTTAACTCCTCTTTTCAGCTGAAAAAGTGCAAGTCCTATCAAAACTCACTCCCAAAATCAGGATTGAGGTCACTCTGAAGTGACACTTCCCACCCTGACGCAGAAGTGCTAGAAATCAGCATTAACTTTCCCTGGTCGAGGGGAAGTCAGTGCCTTCTTGGCTGTAAACGTTTGCCTTGGTCATTATTAATTTTGAGTGACTGAAACCCATCAAGCAAATCCTCTGCAACCAGAGAGAGCTTCGAGACTGACTCCCAGCTGCTTGGGCAAAAATATTATCATTACTTAGCAGTTTGTTAAAATGAACAGATTGAAAATAGACAGGGATTTAAATGTGTTGTCTTGGTGATGGATTTGGACGTTTGCTGCTCAGTTTGTGGTGAAAGGAGACACATTTCCCATCAGCCTGGAGTGACTGATAACTCCTGTGAATGCTGAATGTTCAACAGCTCCCTCTGCTAATCTGCTAGTCCCAGTCTGGTAATCTGAGCTAATCCTACTCCTAATTCCAACCATACTGTTTTCATTGTGGTTTTTATTTTAATATTCTTTTGGTGATTTGTGTGGAAAGGTGTTTGCAGCACAGAAAACTTTTCACCTAATTAGCTATTAATTAGTAATTAGGTTTAGTGTGTGTATAACTAAGGTACTAGTCTATATATAGTAGTAACAGTGTGAAAAGAAAAGAAAAAAGAAGTCCAGTGCGGCAGCAGAAATGCACTTGCTCCCTGGAAGTAACTTTTTTGGAACAAAAATTTGCTAAATTTTAAACTTAAAGAGAGAGAAACAAGAAACAAAGAAATAAGAAACAGACAAAACAAACAAACAAGAAATAAACAAAAAAGGACACAAATGAAACAGACAAGAACACAAGAACCAGAACAAGACAAGGACAGTGGCAGACACTAACACACAGACAGACGTACAAAGCAAGAAATTAGAGACCGATAAAGATGGATATGCACATAAAGTCAAACGCAGCCACGAAAGGACACAGGAGACTGAGCCCTAACCAAGCTTTAATAAACCTTTATTATTTCAAGTTTCTTTATTTCCACCTTAAAGCCCTAATAAGGACCACTTTAACAGTACTCAACTACAATCCTACAAACTCATTATTGCCTCTCTGATGAAACTGCTGCTATTACTGTTTACACACCCTTTACTCAAACTTTTTATAAAACCACTTAAATGTCACAAATTCAGCATTAACACTATTTGCAGATCCCCAGGTACAGACTCACAGGCACTGTGGTCTTCTCCACACTGCGTGCCCTCCGCAGTTACCCCAGCGATGGCTGCACAGACGTAACTTTGCCTCTTTGTGGCGATGGTGTCTCTGCAGTTTCTATTCTGCAGTGAAGCGAGCTGCCTCTGCTCCTCTCGATGGGCCCTCAACTTCCTGCACACAAAAATACAAAGTGATTACTCTCATTCTGTCACAAACTACAACACTCTAGAAAATTTTTTACAACCCTACAGTAAAATACAATTAGGCCCGCATCACAACCAACCACCGCATTCCAGAGGAGCACTCCTCAGCAACAGTGTTCCCAGGGGCCTCGAAAATCAGTCCGCCTGCCAAAACCCCAGCCCTGGTCTGACCTCCGTCCAAACACTGGCAATGATCATCACCTCACAGAACGATCAGGACCAGGTTAAAAAAAACCCAGCCAAGGGAAAAAAAAAATTAAAAATCTCCTGGCTAGATTTTTTAAATTCTAATTGGTAAAAATCTGAGTTACAAACTCAACATTGATACAACCTGCAATTAAAACCACACGCACAAGGTCAGACACATTCACAAACCAACATTCGGTCAACATCTGCTCCACCCACCCATCAGCCAAACCTCAGCCCTATCGTCACCCACCTACCCTCCTTAGACTGACGTTATGCTATGTGTCACCCCCGCCCTCTGGCACTTTCATCCCCCTACTTAGCTTTCACGGTGCCACGGATTGTGGTCCAACCTCTATGGACATCCTGCATGTGGCCACATTGCCTAAATGCGAGGTTCCTTTAACCACTTTGTGCCGCTCTGTCACCTACAAAAACAAAACACAAGCTGCTTAATACCCACTCCATTTGTGACTACAAGTACAGAGCTCAGCATTACAAAAGCAGTACACAGCCCAACAACAGACTGAAATACCTAGCAATGTGAAATAAAACACGCAGTACAGCGGAATACAGTGCAAGACAATCTCCATTGTCAGTCAACACAAGTACAGAGCGAAGCAGTACAAGAGGCAATAGTCCAATGCAATGATACAATACAATAATCCAAGAGGTAATGATGCAATGCAATGATGCAACACATTAATCCAATGCAATGATACAACACATTAATCCAAGAGACAACCTAAGTGATTCTATGATTCCAGTTCCACTGTCCAGAGGGGTTTGTTGAACTATCACAACTGATGTCTATAGTCATGTTGCACAAATACACATGGGCAATTTAGAAATACAGTTTAACAGTGAGTTTATTTAACAAGTTCTTTTGTTAATCAGCATTTTTATTAATTAATCCACTCCTGAAAAATATTTCCCTCCCATTTTAAGTCTTGGCTCAATTAATACATTTCACATGGGCAAGACCAGTCCATATAATTTAAGCAGAAAAAAATATATATAAAACAACAAACACTTCTACAGTAACTTGAAAAGGTCAATGTCATTTATAGGAAAATTAAACACGGATGTGCTTAGATATTTCTGAGGAACAGTGCTCATATTTGCAAACAAACCAACCAAAAATTTTATACACCACAATTTAATACTTAGGGGCTCATATCCTTAACACTTAAGTAATACAAAATTGGAAAATAAATTCAGAAATTTTCATCGCAGAAATCCGTGAGCTTAATTTCAAGACAGATAGTGGATTATTTTGATTTGAGTTCTAGAGTTCAAAACTCATCTCCGAAGGAATGAAGAAGAACCATCAACAGTTCCTGGTCAGATACCTGCCAGATGGAGACTGGCTCAATATAACAACTGAATTTTCAGAGAGGACTTCATTTCTTTAAGAGGCTGTGAAGTTAAAGAGGCACTTCAATACACAATCATTACAATAAAAAACTGTTCCCAAAGCTTTCCAAGTTGTTTTCTATGCTTGCTGAGACCACAAAAACCGGTCACACCTTTCCAGCATGGACTGAATCAGTGCTCTGCAATTAAAGCAAAGGGGGTGGGGGAGGGAAAAATGTCAAACAGTAAAAAAAGCAGAAACAGCAACAGTTTCAGTTTGCTTTTTAAAGGAAAGTTTGTCAAAACATGATTGTATTTCAGAGGTGACATCATGACACCACCATGCATGCTTTCTCTAGGAGGGACAGGCAAGATCAGAGTCTGTGCATGACTCAGCAAGATGTGTACCTCCGTCAGGGAAACTCCTTGCCATACATCTTTAATGTGTGATTCCCTGTTGCCTCATTTTCCATTTTAAAATGCCTATATTGCATAATACACAGCTCTTAAATAAAGCTGTCACCTGAGTTTAAAATCCAAGGTAAAAATGTTTAGTATTTTATCTTTTTGTTAACTGAAAAGGAAGTTTTTGAAGCACCAAGAAGATCCAAAATGAACAGCATGCATACATTGATCTTCTATTAACTTGTCAACTTACCTTTGCCTTTTCTCAGCAATTCTCAGTATCTCACAGACACTAGTAAATCTCTCAGATAATTCTAGCGTCAAGCCACACTCCTGCAAGAGAGGCAAGGCACGATTTGGGCCAACGGCCTTGGCCAGTAAGAGAGCTATGTTTTCCACAGTGATGCAGTCTGGGCAGCTGGGGCTGCCATTGCTGACAGCACTCCCATTCTGTGGGCCATGGTGGTGGAAAGCCATGCTGTGATTTTGTGCGAGATGCAAAAGAAACTTCCATTCTTCTATGGTCTCAGGAATGGAACCTAGATGTAAAATGAGTTTGTTACTGTATTTGTAAAACAAGGGTTATTCTAAACTTACTGTTTTAAAGATCTCTGTTCTTAAAAGGGAAGCTAGCTACTCTGTCTTTCTCTGCCAAGACTTAAAAAAAACCCCAAACAAGCATTATCAACCAGCAAACTGTGCACAGAAGTATCCTGCCTTGACTGACTCAGTGTAAAGATTCAGTGGTGAACGACACACAACGCTCCTCAGTAGTTCAGTATTTAAGGCTTTGGATTAAGTCAAGAGACAAAGAATTTTTGTTTTGTCCATCTTCAGGCTACTGGGAATTTTCTTCTAAGTTCTGCCATGTGATAAAACGTTTTGCTCATCACAACTGTGTGTGAGCATGTGTGGTGGGGAGCTTTGTGCTGTGCAGGGACTTGAGCTATTCCTTTATCTACAACAGCAAGTTTATTTAGCTTTTTCTCTCAACTGATAAACAACTCTACTTTGTTGAACTTCTAAACATTTTCTAGACCAAGTGACTTCACAAAGCACAGCATGAAGATACAAGGGCGTAACACCCATTTACGTATTTCAAATATGCAGCACCATACACAGTGCTACCAAAATACTTAAAAAAAATTCAACTCAACTTGTACAAACTGAATCAGTATACAGTAAAGACAGCTTATATACACAGAAGTATGTTTACACAGCTTAAGACTCACTAACCATCTTCTCCATTCAACAGGCTCAAATCATCCAAATGAGCAATATTAGTAAAGGCTTCTATTCTTCTATCCAGCTCCAGACAGAGATAAAGATATCCAGGCCAAAATCTTGAATAAGAGAGTAAAGATTTCCAGGAATCAAATACTGGGTCTAAACTAAAGTCACCAATAATTAAATGCTCATTTAAATATCAGTGAAGACAGAAGCAACTGAATTTCTTGAATGACAGAAATCACTGCAGAGTGGGGACACAGGGAACACCCCTTAACCAAAAGGGGTATTTGGTACATTAAACTGGACACTCAATATTCATCCTCAAACAGGACAGGTTTTTAAATGAAACCTGTCCAAGTAAGGAGCAGATGGGCGATTTTAATTCGTATCTTTTTGGGGTCAGAAGACCAACCAACCAAGTATCAAGAATTACCAAGTTTTCTTCTTACCCATGTGATTTACAGATGTCAGCCATCTTCTCTTTTGTAACAAAATCAGCTGGGAGTTTAATCAAAAGCAGAATGAGCTGACTGTAGCCCCAAGTAAACAAATGTGATCGTGGCCTAGAACAGGAGAAATTCAGTTTTAAAGCATTAATGGCTTCCTTCAGAACATTATATTGTCTCTACAACACAGGCAGGATATGAAAAGAAAGAAGGAAAAACGAATGAAACACTATGTGTAGTCTCAGTAGAGCAGTCACTTTGGAGAGCATCACAGATAAAGTTACTTAATCCTTTGGTTGCTTCTGCTGAACTCTGCAATATGCAAAATGCTCCAAGGACTCAGTGACAACCAAACTGCCATACAAAATCTAAGCCAAAAGCCTGCTGACCCGTTAAAAGTTTTTTGCTGCAGCCAGGACCCTGGGTGAACCCTACTTTACCTGGGATTTCCTTGGGCATCCACAGTATTCACTCTTTGTGGTGCATCGAGTGAAACTGCCAAGCACAACCAATCCAGTCGTACAGACTCGGGCTGCAGAAGAGATCTAAGCAGAGATGATCTAGAAAGCAAAACACACAGGAAAAAACTACCAGTTTTAAATATATCACATACAGAGAAGTAGAGATTGTGTCTGCACAAATACCCAACAAACAAAATCGGGATGTGAAATTAAATATGGAAAAGCCTAGAATCATGTATGCTTCTGGAAAGTGAGGGGACCACAGAAAACCGTGAAGTTTGCAGGCTGGGTTCCCCCAGTGTTAGTTTTTTTGGTTTGTATTTTATGTTGGTTTTTGTTGGTTTTTTGATGTTTTTTTGGGTTTGGTTTTTTGTTGGGGCACGGGGTTGGGAGACAGCAGGGATGGTTGGTTTGCTTTTAAATGCTGTCTAACCTTGCTATACTGAACTGCAGGCAGAGGAACAAAACAAGTCAGTTCCATTGAAAACAGAGAAACCCTCTTAAAACTAGCATCTAATCTAAGGAAAAAACCACAGCCTGAGAGACCAGTTAAAACTGGCAGAATGAACCGAAATCTAATGCCTAACACCAAGCAGATACAGAAATAGTAAAAAAGTCCCACAGAAAAGAAGAAGAAACAACCCCACAGCTACATGATGAAGACAGATGAAAAGATTCTATAATCCTTTTACCTTTTATCCTCTGGCTTTGATTTCACCAGACTGTCTAAATATGCTAAAAAGTGAGCTGGATCATTCCTGCAAAGCTGTTTGATATCAGAAGGCAAAATAGAGGGGTGGAACTTGATCAAGGGCCGAAGAGCTGTTTCCCCAAATTTTTCATAAAGCCTGGAGAAAGAGGATAAAAACTATTTTCAGTAGTAAGCAGCAAAATTATCATTTTTCCAAGATTTCTTGCAAGTTCAAGATTGTACTGAAAGGTGATCTCTAAGGTTCCCAGAAAGCTTCATGAAATGCTAGCAGCCATTGCTTCACTTCATAAGTTAACACCGTTGAAGAAAAGGAAAAAAGGGCTCGGCTACAAACCTCTGGGCATGTGCCAGTAACAGTGGGCTATTATCCCAAGGCCCCAGGTCATGCAGCCGTTTCAGTATTTTCAGCATATCTTCATTTTCCACTGCTAAAGCCACTGGACTGTGACAAGTTAGTTCTGAAACAAATCAGTGCACTTGTTACAAGATATGGGCAAGTTTTGCTTTTTTTCTCAACACACAGACAGCTGTTGTCAAGTGTAACATAAGTTATCACTGACTTCATGGGACTCTCTAGATCTGCAATTCCAGCAGATCACAGTTATAAAATTATACCACTACGGCATGGCATAATATTCTTAATATATTTGCCTTTTCTTTAGATTTCTGAGGAAGTAAGTTTTCTCTTATGTGTAGGACACATGGCTTGCTGAATACAATGCAGATCTGGATCGGTTTTCATACATCACAATTTGCTTCTATTAATAAGTAAAAACTTCAGCTTGGACACTGACTTCAGAGAACGCAGAATTCAAGATGAACCTCGCTCCTGATGAAACGCAGGTATCAATCTACAGCACAAGTACAGTCCGACTGAGGACAAACTGGGGAACACACACAGTACTTTCACTTCTAAGGCTCTCAGAATCCAAGTAGCAAACAGACTACCATAAACCCAAACACCAGATACCAACCCTCAGAGCAAGATTCTGTTGTTTGACTACTCTTTGTTGGTGCCAGATCAATGCTAAGACTTTAATTCAGTTCGAAGAGATGCACAAAGCAGAATCTGAATGCAGAGAACAGATAACGTTCTGTTTTCCAATATAATCAGGAAGCTTTAACAAGGCTAAAGAGGCATTGAAAAGATCAGAATCACAGAATCACACAGAATCACAG